AAAAAACCAGAGTGAACGGAAGCAAATACTGTTGAATGATGATGCACAGAGGAGATTGTAATCATTGCAATAAAATGATGGTGTAAAGCCAATATGCTCCCATATAAACTATCACTCAGTTCATAATAAAAAAAAAAAAAGTAAAAGAAGAATCAGATCTTTGCTGGGCTTGAATACATCTCCTAAACGAGCATTCGTTATTCCTTAGACAAAACAGCTACTCTCATGTACCTCAATTCTGTTGTGTCTAGGTTTACCTCCTAGATCAGAAAACCAAAGCTGGGGGAAACAGCTCCATTGCCCTTCCATGTGTCTAAAGATGTTAGAGGCTGTGAACCAGCCAGAAGAAGTTGGACTACACAATAATGAAGAAAGTCAGCACCACCAAAGCAGATGATAAAGTAAAAAGAATCTCAATGTGTTCCAGCAACTGGACATGGGTCCTGTGTCTTCATTGCTCCACAGAGTCTTCCTAAGAGTTGGAAATGCTCCTGTCAATGCTGAGCTTCTGCAGTAATTGTTCAATAAAGAAACTCAAGGCAAGTTTCAGGCCATTGGTCATCAAGAATTCATGGAAACAAATTTTTAAAAACAATACATGGTAAAAGACTGATTTTTATTATTTATAAACATTTTAATTGAATAAAAGTCTTTGTACAAAATGAAGCACTTTATTGTACAAAATTTTGAACTAGCTCAAGTTTACAATCATAAAAATTAGAACAATACGAAAATGATTATACTATGGGACTAAGGAGAATATCAGGGGAAATTGAGTTTTTACTAGGAAAATGATCAATATACAATGTTATCATTTAACTGAATTGTTTCTGATCCTAATGCTTAATCTTATCACAAACTTGACATAATAAAATGATTTTGGGGAATTGATTTGAAATCAACACTGTGGTGTTTGGCTCTCTATATACATATATTAGGACTATTTGTATTCTCATGAAAATTCATAGAAAAATATATATAGTGAGAAATCAATATTCTTCAGATTTTGTAGATGATTTTAATCTGATTCATCACTACTAAAGTAAGAGCTGTCACAATATTCAGCCGTGTAGAGAAATTTATGAATGATTGGGTTCATCTTCGGTATCCAGTGTCGTGGAACCAGGTATGTTGAAAGGTTAAAGAGATCTACAAATACCTTGTACCTGTCACTGGAAAAACATATATACAGACATTTTAGATTCATTAACACAAAATATTTTAAAGTTTATATCCAAAAAATTCACATCTAAGTTATTATATTTTGTCATAAGCAATTTGTATTCAATGTTTATATTATACATATGTAAGATATATATATATTATACATGTAGGTGGTGAAACAGTTAATAACTCAGCTACTAAACTAAAAGATTTGGGGATCTGCTTCTGTAAAGATTACAGACAAGAAAACACTATGGGGGTAGTTCTAGGTCAATAAGGTTGCTATTAGTCAGAATTAAATCTCTGGTACACAACATTATAGATTAAAATTAAGACTGCCTAGTTCTTACTCCACCTTCCAAAATCATGCCTATAAAACAGTATTAGGTGTTTGGTTGATGTAGAGCATGTGTGCCTGGCTTAGAACCTAGAGGTATACTACTGTCAGGCTGTTTCTCTCATGTTCTACTTTTAAAAGGATGGTATGCAAACTAATAAATTTACACGCTATGTTGTTGTTAAGTTCCCTTGTGTTGGTTCTACTCATAGCGACCCTGTAGTAGGTTTCTGAGGACAACTGGTGGGTTCGAACTGTCAACCTTGTAGTTAGCAGTCCACTGCTTATACTACAGTGCCACACCAGGACTCAGACCATATCAATTTCTTAATTGTTCATTGGGGAATATATCCCAACTACAAATTAGTTGAAAAATAGTTGCCATGATGGACTAACACGTTGAAATAACATCTTAAACGTATAATGTATATTTGTAAAAGTAGTTTTAGAATTCCTTTGGAGTTTGACAGTCAACTACTTCACAATATTCAGTATTATAACAGGAGAATACTATCCTTTAAAGTCAAATAAATATAGGTTCAAGAACTAGTTCTATCATGTACAATCATTTTGAACAAGTTTTTATTAAAACCCTCAGTGCCATGGTTTCTTATTTTATATAATAAAAACTGTAATTTCTTCCTTCTGGGTCTTTGTGAAGTTTAATGAGATGCTGATACACTGGAAATAATTAGTTTATGGGAATTTTTCCCATGATCACACCTGTGCTTATTTTGTACAACCACTGGCTATTTAATGAGGTTTTTCCACCAGAAAAAGAAACTATGACAAATTGATGAAAATGCAAGCCAAATAATTTAAAAAATCAATGTGGGGTTTATTCGCAGGGAAAGTTAGAATATATTTTTTAAAAATGATGGAAGTTAAAACCCATGAATTTAAAACAAGGATAAAATAATTTGCTATGAGGAATTTGGGGGCTAAATGTGAACATCCAATTTATTCTTACATTGAGTATGCTTTCCCAAATGGACGTGTGTAAGTTTTTCCAACAAGATGCCTCGCTTCCTTCCTTCCTTCTTGTGTTCCTTCCTTACTTCATCTGGCCAAGATGACATTAGTGAATAATGCTGGCAGTTTCAATCTAGTCAAATTCTTGAGCCAGAATTGGTGGAAGACATTTCTGCCTGGCTATAACCAATATTTACTCCTGTGGTGTTGTAGAATAAGTGCAGGATTGCAAGGTCAATTTGAACCACAAAATCGGCAGCTCAAAATCACCACCTGCTACTCTGAAACCCTACACAGGGTTACTATGGGTCAGAACCAACTCTATAGCACTTAACAACAACAACAGTTCCTCACAAGTCATTTAGTCATTGGTTCTATGTCCGTTTTCATCACCAGATCAAATGATGAACTTCAATAATTAATAATTTTATACAAAGAATTCCAAAGATCGCAATTTAAAGCAAACACAACATCATTGCTGTCAAATCAATTTCACCTTAAGGCCACCACCCATTGCCAGAGTAGAGAACTGTACCACATAGACTTATCAATGGCTGATATTTTGAAAGTAGATCATCAGGATTTTCTTTCAAGGTATCTCTGGATGGACTTGAACTTCCAACCTTTCAGTCAGAGTGGAGTGCATTAACCCTGTGCATCATCCACAGACTTTTAAATATCTTATGTAACTAAAATATGTTGTCAGAAAGTCAAACAGGAGCAAATATAGTGACTTTTTCTAGACAATGCCCAAATATACGGGAAAACAGAGACTTGGGAACAACCAGCAAGATGAAAAGGTGGCTTTCCTCTCTTACCTCACAGTTGAGCGCAGGTACTGATAGCCTGAGGATCCACCAGTGCCAGCCTTGCTACCCAGCATTCTGTGCACCATGCAGACGTGGTTATCTAGACAAACACAAATTACTCCATGGATAGTTTACTGCCATTAATTTCTTAATGGTTTACAAGCAAGGGGCTGGTAATGATTATTGCCTCTGAGCAAAGTCTGACCCCTTATCAGGTAGCCATATGGAAGGTTCATGAGTGAAAGTCTGAAGAGACCCTTAGGTTGCCTGGCACCCCACTGTGGGAGGTTACGTGCATTTTACTCCATTCAACATTACATTTGGTTTGTCAACTGAATAGGGCAGAGCAGGGCCACATTATTATGACTTCCCTAAGTCATTAGAGCTTTTGCTTAGTGAATGCCTTCCTCAATTTAAAAAGAAAATGAAAATTCTATTTTATAATTAAATTGGCATAAAGGTAAGCATATTAATATCATATACTGGTATTAAATCATTGTCTTTGAGCTATAAGATCATTTTCTTCTTTGTGATTTAAAGTAGATTTAAACATTCTCATAGGTCTACAAAAGTATTGTAGACTTTAGGCACAGGCCTACTATGTTTACTGGATCAGTCTGTCCTGAGAGTGTCAGACTGCTTTTTAAAACTACAACTCAGCCATACATAGAAGAGGAAAAAGGAGAGAGAGAGAAAGCAAACAGAAGAAGGAAAGAACAGGATGATGAGCTAAGGACAGGGTGGAGGAGGAGAGGACTCACATCTCCATTTTGTCATTAGTGTATCTATGTCCATTAGAGAAGTCAGCAATTGAAATGGGACCTGGAATCTAGGCTCTTCCCTAAAAAAAAAGAAATAAATCTGTTCAAACAAATGCAGTATATTAGGAAGAGCATGAATTTTATAATCAGTCATTCTTGGAAATAAGTGTCAACGTTGCCTCTTAGGTGCTGTGCAGCTTTGGACTACTCTCAATCTCAGTTTCTTCATCTCAAAAATTCAGTTTGTAACATTCATGTAAAAAATCTAGAATATTTCATATAATATGCATGAAATGAATAGACTGAATCACACATAGTATAGATTATCGCTAAAAATTTGCTCAAAAGTTTCTTCAGACAACAATCATCAACAAGATTCTTCTAGGTACAAATAATGAAACACAAAGACAATGACTGTTTTTATTTCCTGTCTTTCCATATAACCCTCAACTCTCTCAACACATTTTCTGTTCAGAGCACGTAAAGTTGAGTAACAAGACTTTAGCAAGAGTTTAGGAAAAGAATAAAAATCGTTTATGCTGACATTCTGAAGTAAGCTCTATGAGAGGATTAAATAAATAAATCTATAAATCCAAGGAAGGAAAAACAATCCAGTAAACAGGACGAGGTAGATGAGGCCACTTTGCTAGTAGGCCACCCATTGCTGTTCTGCATTAAATTCATGAGGAGGAAACCCTCACACACAAGGAGGAAGTGGACATTTGAGGGACATCTTAAACATCTTAGACAGAAAAGTCAATTTTGCATGAACTTGCTAAATAATAATAATAATAAAAAAAACTTATAAGATGATATCCCTTAATTCATTTTTGTCATTTTATAAAACAGGGGGAAAAAAAATCTGATAATGTTGCTGAAAGAACACATTCACCAAGTTTCTAAAATAGAATAAAATTTGTTTCCTTAAGAAGCTCTATGTCACATCATACTTTGTAGCATTTCATAAAAATGGATAGTTGCTTATTTTGTGAATGTGTGTGTGCGTTTACCCAATTCAAGGATAAATCTACATCCTTACCATATACAAGTGAAAATGCTCATGAAGCCTCACTGCTTCCCTGAGTCCCTAAGTTATTTTCTGTTTTCTCTTTAACCTGTGTGACTGTAAGAAACTGATTGCAGCCCGTAAGGGTTGTTCTTATTAGTTATGCCCACTCTTTCAATTTCAGATTTGCATTTCCTCTTCTTCTTTGCATACCTGTAAAAATATATCATCAGTGCTCCCTGAAGCGCTCGGTATGACAGCCGTCTTTCACCTGAAAAATACACAATGAGCTTTAGTTTAATAGGTATTTTATTAATTTTGGCATCATTACCATAAATAATTAAGTTTCCTGTATGTCTTTAATAAATAATGTGAGTTTTATTTTTAAATTGTTAGTCCTAAACTCTGGTAGCGTAGTGGTTACGAGTCAGGCTCCTAACTTTAAGGTCAGCAGCTGGAAACGATCAGCCGTTCTGTAGGAGAAAGATGAGGCTTTCTGCTCCCTAAAGATTTATAGACTTGGAAACCCTATACAGGGTAGCCATGAGTCAGAACCAACTCCACGGCACACCATCAACAACAACAACCCCATGTGAAAACCTATTATATATAATATTATTTTAACTTTATAAGACAAACTTTAAACTCTCAAATCACTAAAATGTCATTTCAGGGCAATATGTAGAAAATAATTATGAATAGGCTTCATTTGAAGTCATTTTCTCAAATTTATTTAAAGACAGTCTACTTCACTTCGAGGTGCGTAAAAATTATCTAAAATCTCATTTGTGTGCTCTCATACAATGCTTCATACCTTATTGTAGAAAACAACACTTTGCAATTGTTTAATTGTTTGTTTGCTTCATTGATTTTTTCAAGAAACTGAGACTAATAACTTTTAGGTTTACAGACTTTTAATACTAGTTTCTTTTAAAACTGTCTTTTAATTATACCTTGTACTTATAAAAATTTAGTTTTTATTTCTGTTTTCAAAAATGTTTTCTGCAGCTTAGAATACAAGTTCCAAATATGATAAACACAAAACTTTAATATATTTTTTAAATGGGGGTTAATTAGTGAAGGCACTGATTAATTCCTTAGTAACAATAATAATTGTTGGTGTTGCAAACCATAGGAGTATGAAGATGGGTGGTTTAAGCCACCAAGCAAAAACAGAAGTCTTGACAATCTGCTTTCACTAAGATTACAGACAAGAAAATCTTATGGAGTAGTTTTACTCTAACAACACATGGGGTTACCAGGAGTCAGAATCAATGCAACAGCAATCACAATACTATCAGCTGTGCCAAAAGTCAAAATGTGTACTTTTTCTAGCCTGCTTGAGAAACGTATTTCTTCTGAAAAGCCAGCTTTGTCCTCACAGTCGTTTTCCCTTCTCTCTCCTACCTCAACTCAAATATTTAAAATCACAAAAATTATCCTTCAATCTGTTCCTATTAAGCTATAATTTATTTGAAGAAATATGTTCAATGTATTTTGATAATCCTAATGTCTGACATAAGTATGAAACTATGATTACTAACATCTTTGAAATAAACTGAGCATAGAAAACTAATAACATCTCATAGATAACATTCTTGTATTTATGAGTAGCATATTAAGTTTTATTCTATTTCCCCCAGGCAATGTTTGATAGTCTTATCTAATTATATCTTAATCTCACATTCCTAAATGCCATAATACCTTTGCTGAGGAGATGTTCATGGCGTTTCTCATCAAATAAAGATAGTAACACCTCTTTTTGCTTCTGGAATTCAGCCATTTGTTCCTCTTTTTCCTCTGAATCTTCCCTAGCCTGTGGAGAAAATACTGCACTAAATTCCCCAAAGAAAAAACAGTTTCTTATTTTGCCAATAGAAATGAACATTCCAGTGATCAAATGGGTGTATTTGGAGCATTTACTGTATTATCCAATATTACAAATTTTATTTTGTGAAAGACACATTCCACACACTCATGGGTTGTATCCTTTTATGTAAGTTAAATTCATTCATTAAATTCAAATAATCATTTTATAAATATTACAAGAAATAGATTCAGATGGATAAAATTGGAGCTAGCCATAGTGGTCAGTAGTGATCTAATTTTAGGAAGAAATTACTTAGCAAAAGAGGCAAAGTAAACTACTAGGAAAAAAGTAAGGATTCTTACAAGAACTGTGAACACTACTGAAATTCTATTTCCAATATTGCATTCTGTGAATAAAATTTCTTGGAAAACCTGTCTTCTTTTTTAAATCTATTCAATATATACTTATCCCTTTAAAGAGGTTTTTCTTTGAATTAATAATTATTTTAGTTGAAGCTAATCCCATTATCTTTGATTCAACAGAATGACCACACTGTGTAACATATTCTTATCAATTAATTGCTGATACATTAAATAAACATCTAATGTGCACCTATTGTCATTTGTCTTGATAGGTGATAGAGATAGAATTCTGAGAAAAAAAAGAGTCCCCTGACCTCACACAGTTTATATTCTAATTGGAATAAAACATTGATCAAATAATCATGTAGGCATCAAACTGCAACCACAGAAAATGCTATAAAGGATCAGTATCCGTGCCATAAACATTTATAGTAGTAAGGAAGCCAGAAAAGATCTTCCTGAAGAAGTATAAGTATGTCTTAAGACCTGAAGGATGAGAAGTGTTTGATTACAGAAGAGCATTAAAGTCCAGAGAATAATGCATACAATGGATCTGATGTTGAGTGAGAACATAACAATTTCAATAACTAAATGGGATCTAATAAAAGAAGTTCAGTATAGTTATACCATGCAAAATCATGAGAAGCCATATTGGCTAAGTTAAGGATTCATATCTTTATCCTAAAATCAACAGGAAAACTACAAAAAAGTTTTAGGCACATGGGATATGTGATCAAATTTGCATCTTGAAAAGGTTACTCAGACAGTAGCATGAAGAATAAATTGAAATTGAGCAACTGAAATAGAGAAGATAGTTTAGAGGCTGTAATTTTAGTACAGATGAAAAACAACGGCAATATAGGAGAATTGCTGGGGAATTAAAGGGAGACTGTTGGCCTTAGGTCAGTTCTGAGTCATATCAGATACTATGTTCAACAGAATCAAACACTGACCAGACCAGTCTTGTATCATCTTCACAATTATTGCTATGCTACAGCAGTTCGAAACTACCAGCCGCTCCGCGGGAGAAAGATGAGGCTTTCTACTCCCGTAAAGATTTACACCCTCGGAAACCCTGTACAGGGTCGCTATGGGTCGGAACCGACTCGATGGCACTTAACAACAACAACAACAACAGCCATTGCAGCAGCCACTATGCCATAAAGGGAGATATTTGACAGATATTTAGAAGGTAGAATTGGTAGGATTTGATAATAATTTGAATAAGTGAGTCGGGAAAGATCGGATACAAAAGATCATTCATAGGTGTCAGCCTTGAAAAACTAGATAGTTTGTAGGAGACAAATTTCCCCAACTTGGAGAAGATCATGTTGATATGTGCATGGACAGAGGTGGTGATTTCAAACATTTAGTTTTGTCTGTGTGCATTTGAAAAACCCAAGAGTAGATTCATGGTCTTAAATCTAAGGACACGTCTAAGCCACAGATAAATATTTTGAATTTTCAAGGTATAAATAATGAGGGGATGGGTATAAATGAGTTCATCTCGTGAAGGAGAATAGAATGGATCAACACCAATGTATTTAGATACTCCACCATTTACTAGACAGAGAACAAAGTATGAATCTAAAAAGAGGGTACAGAAATGGAAACCAGGGAATTAGATGGAAACAGTGTCCTGCCAGCAAATACAAATGTTCAAAAAAGATTCAGTAGTCATTACTATTAAATGCTACTGAAAGGAAAATGAAAAGATTAGATTTAGGTACATAGTAGAGATCATTTGTGAAGATAGATTGAACTGGTTGGAGGAGTAGATGAGAAATGAAGAAATAATTATCTTAACTACTGTTCTAAATGCTTAATAAATTCTAATCAAATTCAGTGCTTATACTTATCCTATGGTGGGTCTTAAGAAGTGGAAGTGGGAATTTGAACCCATGCAGTGTCACTTCAAAGTTTGTGCTTTAAATACGACCATTGTGATGGTTAAAGTTTTGGGTCAACTTGGCTGGGCCAGTGTTCTCAGTGGTTTACCAGTTAAAATGTAGTTACAACCTACATAATGAGATCCAATATAATGTAATTACCGCCATGATATGATCTTATGGGATCAGTTCTGATCTGATATAATTATTCTGTGTTATAAATCCTCCCTCCTGTGATGTTAATGAGTCCAGATGCAATCTACAGGATTAAATTTTATCTTGAGTAGATCTCTTCTGAGAGATACATGGAGAGAGAAGTCAATAGAGATGGAGGGACCCACAGCCACCAAGAACTAAAAACCAGGAGTGGAGTATGTTTTTTGGACCTGGAGTCCCTGCATTCTAAAGCTCTTAGATACAGAGGAAAACTGATGCCAAGACACATGGAGATCTCCAAGGCATGATGGGTCTGCAGATGCTAAAAAGGACACAGAGATCTTTCTCCAGAGTCAGCATTCTGGATTCGGACTTCTAACCTTCTAAACTGTGAGAATAAATTTCTGTTTGTTAAAGCCATCCATCTGTGGAATTTCTGTTATATAACTAGATAACTAAGACACTTATGCAGCCAATCAAAATATAAAACACAAGGGTAAGTTAAAATGATTGCTGTTATGCTTCCATCACAGTTTATTCTAAACAAACCATTTAAATATGTCTGTAATCAGTGAATGACTACAGACCACTCCTCTCAGTCATACACTTGTCTTAGTCTGTTTAGGGTAAGGGTCCACTCAAAACATCCTTGAGGATCTCAAATGATATCCTTTTAAATGTTCTTTAAGTTTGGGGGGGGGGGGGGAAGAAGTCTAACAAGACAAGATCAGGGCATAGGGTGGATGGGATACAGTTTACCAAGAAGATGCCCTTGCTACCCTTGAAAAATGAATAGGTGCATTGTTGTGATGGGGAAAAAAATTCTCAGCACAACTTTCCTAACCTTTTTTTCACCAATGCAGTTTTCAATGTCATTAAAGCTTTATAATAAATGCCTATATTTGTTCTGTGTCCTTCAACACAATCTATAAGATTACCCCACTGGAATTCCAAAAACAGTCATTCAAACCTCTCTGCCTTAAATTTAACTGACCTCACCTATGTCCTGAGAGGCCACAGTTTTGATTGGATTTTTAAAAAAATTTTAAGGCTATCCTAAACAGACTAAGACAACTGTGTTACTTGAGACCATTTTTATGTAGCAATCCACTGGTTGCAGACACATGTTTTAAGACTTTTGTTTGGAATAAAACCTTGCATGTATAAGTCAGTCATGTAATACATCCCATGATAAGACATCTATAAAGAAAAAGAAGTGAAGAAAAATTGAAATTTAAGAGAAAAATGAAGAATGATAAAAATAAAATTCCCAAAAACTTCTTTAATAAAGGTAATATTACTCAAATATCATAAATACCTGAATCCTTATGAATTCCTCTTCCAGGCCTTTTACAATATTTTTTTCAAAATTTCCCCAGAAGTTAAATCCATGTGGTTCTAAACCTGGTGTTCTTTCCAGCCATGCCTTAAGTAAATAATATTTTAGGTGACTATATGAAAATATTTAAAATATGCAAAGTACATTATAACTAAAATATATAAATTTGAACCAGTAAATTTTATAGTTTTGAGAAGTACATGTCATAAATTTTAATTTATTTATTAAATAGCAATTGATCATATTTTATTTTCTAAAGTCTTAGAATAATCAATAATTTTTACTATTCCTTATTTATTTAAAAAATACATGATGACAGGAATCTCAAATTTGTTCTATGTCTATGAAGTCATTACTTTAATAAGGTCTTCTGGTGGTTTATTTTCTCAAAATATCTATGTCTTAGTGTTGTCGCTGGTGTTAAGTGCCTTCATGTTGGTTCTGAATCAATGATTATGGGATATATGAAAGAAATAGAGGTGAGTCCACAAAGTTCATTGAAAATTGGAATAGAAAGATAAAGGGCTGCCAAGTAGTAGCTGGTAGGTTTGAACCACAAAGCTTTTGGTTAGCAGTCCAAGGCTTATCATATAGTACCACATCAGTCTTAATAGCTGAAGGAATGTGAGGACATGGTATAATTAGGACTTTGTGATATCAACTGCCCACAGTTGTTTTAAGATGCGACACACTTTTTAAATCTAGACACAAAACTTAATCCATGCATCTCTCTGGGTTCCCATTAACCAATTTTGAGTTTCTGTATTAGCTTTGTGAGTTTTTCCCTACCTTTATAAGACTTTATATGATACTTACATATGATACATATACATAAAGCATTAACTCAAATAAACATTTATAATATTTAGGGAATTATAGTCTAACTCACCAGAAGAATAGTTTGATTTGCAAAGGCAAAGTTTTTAAAAACCACATACGTTTTACTTATAAATTTACTTGGAAGGAACAAATGGATAATTCCACAAGACTATTTATAGACCAAGCTAAGAAATATCTGAGCAGTCTATTAGTCTACTATTTAGTTTTGTTAAGAAATATACCAAACTGGTGGCAATTATCAAATATGGGATATAATAAAGGAAATGGAGGTTTACAAAGTTCATGGAAAAATGGAATTGTTAGATTATGAAATTTTTCCATAAACTTGTTAAACCCCCTTGTACAAGTTATTAAATAATGAGCCACATTCAGTTTAAAATCAGCTCAATGATGGTTACTTAGTAGAGATGTTTACAAAGATTGCTTTAATTAGATGAGTTGTTGCTGTTAGTGAGTGCCATTCAGCCATCTGATTTCTGATGTCTTTGAAATGGTCCTGAATATTTTTTCTTGATATTTTAAGTATTTCAGCAAACAAAATTTACAAGTGTAAGTATTTTAGAAAACTCATTTCTGTTCTTCTTTTCACAAGTGATACAACTTTAATACGGATTTTAAAAATAAATTCGTGCAAAAGTAATTAACTAGATGCACTGAGTTACATTTTAGAGGAAGGACTTGAGGTTATACCTCCACTAGTTGCAGAAGTGTTTTTTCTTGCTCAGACTTCAATAGCAGTTCATTATCTTCTCCTTTGAAGTTATCACGATAATGTCTTCTGTTGTAAGGGACTCTCATACTCTGAAGAACACCAATCTTGTTTTCTAATAGACGGAACTGCAAACTCTGGAAGCCTGATGCTGGAGATAAATACTCTCTTTGAGAATAATTGGAAGAAGGAAAAGAGAAGAGAAAGGAAATTTAGGTTGAAAATAGAAATCACTATAATGGTCTCTGTATGTACTATAGTGAGAGTTTGTCCATTTCACTCTATTGGATATTACCAAGAATAAGAGCCACAAAGGCTAAGGGTATTTATGATTTATTGTTGTTATTATTGTTGTTAAGTGTCACTGAGTAGGTTTTGACTCATATCAACCCTGTATAGGGATTCTGAGGAGTGGCTGGTGGGTTTGAACTGCCAACCTTGCAGTTAGCAGTCCAGTGTTTATCCTACCAAGCCACCAAAAGCATTAACACTCTTACTTCAAATAACCATCCAAACTCTTATATCCTTGTGAACCTTCTTTATAAAGTTAGTACTAAGACTGAAGTTTTTTAAATCCCACAAAAAATAATTCTACCTCTCTTTTGTTGATTGAAAGCATACTGGAGATATTGCTTATTACATCATATAATGCATCTGATAAGTTCTTAGTAGTCATCAAGTTGATTCCTACTCATGACCACCCCATGTGTGAAGAGCAGAACTGCTCCATAGGGTTTTCAAGGCTTTCTGAAATTGATCTCCAGGACTGTTTACCAAATTGACTCTGAATGGATTCAAATCACCAACTTTTCAGCTAGTGCTTGAGTGCTTAACTGTCACCCTGGGACTGCATTAAAAATTCCCTTTAAATATTGCTTTCTCAAATTTAGGTACCAGAGAAAGCTTTTTCTCTTGACAGTTATTTCATTTCATTCCAGTTAGCTTTGATTCCATGAAAATTTAGAACTGAATTCCACGGACTGATACATAAATTATAATAACTGTTTTTCTTTCCTCTTTATTTAAATAAATCTTATTAGGCATCTTGGTAATCTTTTTAAGTTGCCTAAAATTCTTTTTGAAAATTATAAACAGGGTACACACAAAAAAATTGAAATAAATTGATGGCTTCATTTGCGTGTAAACCTTAGTGGTACAATGTACTTAATTACTTATTAAAGAGTTGGCTGTTAAAGACCTCATCATGTGCTTACATGGCAAGGTGTTATTAGTATGAGTGACTCTTCATATCACATAACATACACATGTTCTTTTTATCCCAATATTAGTGGATTAAAACAACAACAAAAAGCACAGATGCATACCTGAAGTCATTGAAATCCAAGGGAGTCATTGTTTCCAGAATGGAAAACTGTTGTACCAATAGTTTAAGGATCACTGATATTCTGTGCATCCGAGTAACAACCTTAAGCATATTCCTTTCATCCCTGACCTGACAGTTAAGAAATAAAGCAAAAAGCAGTCGATTACGATTCATAAAAGAAGGAAACAAGCTGTAACTAGCAGTATACTCATCATGCTTATTCACCTCCTTATCTTTGTCCTCTTTTTCTTCCTCTTGCTACTCTTTCTCCATCTCATTTTTTGTTTGATTTTTATTTTTAACTTTCATTACTAGTCCTATCTTCCTCTTCTCACAGTCAATGCTCACACTAATATTCATTAGAAATACAATTATGTTATGTAACAATTAAATGATTGCTATTAACTAACTTGAATGTAATCATCATTTATAACAATGTTTTTAAGAAGAGCAAATGTAAGTTGTAAAACAAGGTGCTTGAAACTGAATTTGAAGAAATCTTATAGCACCATGTAGCTTCAGGGTAGCAATGGCACTGGGAAAGTGGAGGGTCAGTGAAAAAGAGGAAGACCCCCAACAAGATGGACTGATTGAGTGGCTGCAACCATGATTTCAAATATGACAACAATTGTTGAGGGTGGCACAGGACCTGGTAGTGTTTCGTTCTGTTGTCCATAGGGTCATGATGAGTCAAAACCGACTCATTGGCACCTAGCCACAACAGTGCATTCCTGTTAATGTATTTTTATTATATTTTATTGTGTTTTTGGTGAAAGTTTACACAGCAAATTAGATCCTTAATTAATCATTCCTATACATATTGTCCAATAACATCGGTAACACTTCAAATGTGTCAAAATTCTCATGTTCATTCTGGCAATCTCTAATTTAAAGATTAACATTGCAACAAAATTTTGTCCTATGTACCTATATATGTTGAACTAACAGCAACTGAGTTGAGTGCAAAAAAAAAAAAAACTGAGAATATTTCTTTTTTTCTTTAAAAATATAAAGTTATATGGAAATAATTTAGAAAGAAATTTTAGGAAACTATTCCTCCTGATTTCAAAGCAAACTTCTCTCAGTTTTGTTTTACAAAAGGGTCAGGGTAATATGTGAACCACTGAGTTAGGATTAAGCAACACCTGGATAAATCTGTTCTTTATACTAGGGACAAATTTGCCATTGATGTAAATGGAGATGACATTTACATACAAAGAGAGAGTACTGTCTGTATAAGTATTTTTCCTATTTTCCAAATTCTCCTAGAGCAGATCTACAAAGTAGAAGATCTAAGGTGAAACCTAAATGGGTGTAGGAGGAGGCAACAGGATGCAAGGAGGAAGAGTGAAGCTCAAACTTCTGCAACTGTCGAATTCTCTGCACTGTCCTTCTACCATTCTTTGTCTTTCTGGTCCTCCCTGTTCCTTTTATCCTTCCTTATTCACCTTCCTCTCATTTTTTCCCACTTTTTCTTCCTCCTGCTATTCTCTCTCCATCTCTTTATTTTGTTGGTGTTTTTCTTTTATTTAACATTCCTCATTCCTAATCCTATCTTCCCACAGTTAAGATTCACACTAATATCCAATAGAAATACAATTCTGGTATGTAACAAGTAAATGATTGCTATTAACTAGCTTGAATGTATACATCATTTATAAGAATATTTTTCAGGGAAGAGAAAATATGAGTGCTAAACAAGAGCCTTGAAACAGAAATTTGAAAGAAATCTTAAAGCACCTTGTAGTTTCAGGGTAACAATGGCATGGGGAAAACCCACCTAAACTCTGTCCTCTCAGGATGGTGATTTTTGTTGTTATAATAACCACACATTTGGTGGTAAGTTTTGTTCATTGCTAAATATTTTCTATAGCTTTCATAAAATATATTAAACCAATATTTTGATATAATAACTTACATGGCCATTCTGAAAGATCTCTCTAACAGAATCTAATTCCCACAGGATTTGCTTAAACCAGAGTTCATATGCTGCAATAAAAGAAAAACCAAGAATTACATGGAGCTCTGTGACTATAATTATAAAGAGTGATATGAGCAACACATTAAAACAGATATAAAATGAAGTTTTTAAATCAACAAAGTCCAATCTAAGCACTATTGTATTTATATTCTCAATTTTATGCCAGAAACAAATATTGATAATGCATTGATAACACTTTAATATGCCAGACACATTATCTTAAATTTATTGTGTTCATTATTGTTATATCTATTCTTCTCAATATACCTATAAGTTAGTTCTTTTAAGGATGAGGCACATAATTCAGTCCTGGCTTCTTGCATACAGACTAGAGGTACATGGGATAGTATAAGTGATACGCAACTTCACCTACAGACTGATAAATTATTATCCACCAAACTAAGTAAAAACTGTAATATTTTAAGACCTTGACATTTTATAACTGTAACTTAAAGTGCAGTGGTTTGTTCTTTTGTGAGAATCTTAGCTATGTATAGACACAGAATAGATGGGAAAGTGATAAAACAATAGTGACAAGATGTCACTTTAAGGCCTGAGGAGCACCTGACCCAAGCCCGCTGACAGGTAAAAATATGTATGTAAGAGCTGGGCAATAAATAAGAAAGACTGAAGAAAAATCGGTGTTGGCAAAGAATGTTGAATATCATGGACTAACAGAAGAACAAATAAATCTGTCTGGGAAAAAGTACAGCCAGAATGTTCCTTTGAATTGAGGATGGTAAGACTAATATACTTTGGTCATGGTATCAGGAGGGAACAGTCCGTAGAGAAGGATATCATGATTGGTAAAGAAGAAGATCAGCAAATAATAAGGAAGGCCTTTAACAAGAAGGATAAACAAGTGACAGCAACAGATGTCTCAAACATAGCAATGATGGTGAGGACGATGCAAGACCAGGCAGTGTTTAGTTGTTACTGCACATAAAGTTGCTTCGAGTCAGAACTTACTCCAGGATACCTAGCAGCAATAACAACAGTACATCCTATTTGAAACTGCCATATGGGTAAAAGTTATGTTCCTACACTAATTAGGTAAACCCAATTCTGATTTCATTTTTTGTTTAGAGAGACTTGTTGTTGTTAATGCCGTTGAACTGATGCTGACCCACAGCAACCCTGTATAGGGTTTCCAAGGGGCAGCTGGTGAGCTTGAACCACCAACCTTGCAGTTCAAACAACTTTGCAGTCTGACGCATTAGCCCACAGTGCCACACCACTTGGGGACACTAATTTTCATATTTATGCATAGAGCAAATCAAATATTTCTATTAGTTCATGGAAGCTATTTTTCAGGGTTAACTTTGTGCTATAGGAAAAATCTCCTTTTCTAATAAAGATAGCTACTATTTGACATCTACTTTTCATGTGCCATGCCTCTCATTCAATTTTCCCAGGAACTCTATGAGCAAGAAGAAAAAATACTGATCTTCAATTATCCACGTGTGGAAATGGAGGTTCTGAGACAGTAAAAATGACCGTTTATAATGGCAAAGAGATGAAATCCTGAAATTTACAGTTCCAAAGTGGTGCTACTGTGCTATGATCCCTGTCCTACTGATTTTCCTGGGTAAATCCACTATAGTAAATTTAAAAACAGGGTAAGTAACTCAGGAAGCTATTTTCTATTTTTACTTCCTTAACTCAGAAGTTTGTCAATTTAGCCAATCAGAGAGGCAAACAGCCCCTTAAAATCACACCCAAAATTGGCAGGGAAGAAGAACATAGCTACACATGAGTCACTGGGTACCGGTCATCAAGGAGACAGTGTTAGGGTACTGACAATCTCAAAACAAGTATTTTTCATATTTGGAGATCACAGACCTCTTTTAGAAATATATTCATTAAAATGGCAAATAATTTCAGATTTCAGAAATCTTATAAATACATAATTCTCAGCCATGAAGTAGTACATAAACAATCTTTGTCCTCAAGCTAAAAACCTCGATAGAGTAAATGCAGTGTACTCAAAATTTGTATTTTTGTCTAAAAATGGAACTGTGTAAGATTACATAAAACCACCGGAAATTTGATATTTTTCTCTTGAAAATAGTTTTTATTTAAGTTAAAATAAAATTTAACTTAAAATTTTATTTAAGTTGAGAAATGTTAACAACTTGCAAATTCTTTGTGAAATTTGGATGGAAATTCCCTTGTACAAAGCTAAAACCCCGCTTGACCCAATGAAGCAGTTTTGAAAGGTGATTATAAATCCTGGAATTAAGTCCTATGAGAATGTATGTGATAGTAAAATATTTTTAAGCACTTTAAACAGAGTCCTTAACCTTTCAGCATCTTAAAGCAAAAAGAATTGCAGGTACCCTTATTATTGATAAGTAATGCATGTGAGGAATTTATTCTCTTATCCTTGGCGCAACTTACCTTGATGAGTTATAATGAAAAGATGCTCATCATGGATTTTATTTCCTTTTATTTCACTTTGAAGCTCTTGTGCATTCAAAACTTTTTCCAGCTTAAAAAAGAAAAATAAACCGATTTTGAAAGGACAGAACTAGTTTATTGACTTTAATAAGTAGAATACAACACAGAAAAAATTCCCCTAAGTTCCCAGATTCTCAGGAATCAGTCCTAGTGTGGAGCTCAGAATAATTAACTGAACCACAAGGTCTGTTTGAACTATTAGGTCAGAAGTTCAAATCCACCAGCTGCTCCCTGGAAACCCTATACAGATCACTATGAGTCGGAACCAACTCCATGGCATCTAACAACAATTGAAAAGTCATAAAGAATGAATGGATTTTATGAATGTTATTACTAGAAGTTAGTATTTGGTAGGGTTCTAGCATAACAAATACTGTTATGTTACACTCTGAGAAATTGAGTACCCCCTTAGCCTATGAAAGGAGTCCTGGTGTGGCGATGAGGGTTAACGTGCATGACCCCAAGGTCAGTGATTCAAGCCCACCAGCCGCTCTGTGGAAACCCTATACATGGTCTCTCTGAGTTGGAACTGACTCAACAATACTTAACAACAACAAGCTTATAAAATGGCTGGTAAGACCTGCTAAACAAACTCAGCTGATTGACTTCTGCTGCCGTTTATTTCCCCAGAGAGCCTACTCAAAAGATCTTAACTTAATTTTATCAGTTCAGTTTTAGAAGCCCATCAATTAACATATCAAAGGCTTTGTTTATTTTCTTCTTAAAAGGAATGAAAGACAAAGTGGCATAAATATCAATGACTCATTTACAAATGCTGATGTTGCTAAGTGCTGTGGAGACAGCTGACTCATACGTGACCTTGTAAAGGGTTTCCAAGGAGAGACTGATGGGTTCAAATCTCCAGTCTTTTGATTAGCAATCTAATGCTTGTCCTACAATGCCACACCAGGACTCATTTGCTAATATCTCTTTTGTCAACTGAAGATTTCAAGAGAACTTTAGGTGCGGCTCTGCATGATAATGTGCAGGACTGCAGGGTCCGTTTGAGCCATAACGTCAGCAGTAATTGGAAACCCTATATAGGGTTGGAATCAACTTAATGGCACTTAACAACTACCTTCAACAGTACTACTTTATGATCAGGGATTTTTAAAGTTTTTTGTTTTTTTCTTTATACAGTTGCAGTTGGTATATAGGCCAGAATTTACTGACCAGCTCTTATTTATGTAAATTATGCAATGTTGGTATGCTGGACATGCTGTATTTTATCATTTAAAATCTTCCCAGAGTCTGGGTGACATGCACTGCTGTACAAAAGAATTTTCACCTATGTGTCTTTTGAATTGTTCTAACAAAAGTTGAAACAGCATGAATGTGTATGCTATCTTTCTTGCTATTAAGTGCTGTCGAGTCGGTTCCTCCTACCCATAGCCACCCTGTATAGGGTTTTTAAGAGCGGCTGGCGAACTTGAACTGCCAAACTTGATATCTTTAGATCCAGGAAACTATTTGGCCACTAATTAGTAGCCATATCCCTCTGTTACTTAGCAGAATTTGTTGTTGTTAAGTGCCGTCGAGTCAGTTCCGACCCATAGCGACCCTGTACAGGGTTTCCGAGGGTGTAAATCTTTACGGGAGTAGAAAGCCTCATCTTTCTCCCGCGGAGCGGCTGGTAGTTTCGAACTGCTGATCTTAAGGTTCGAAGCAGAATTTAGTGCCTAATAATGCTCCTTAAGGAGCTCTGGTAGCGTAGTGGTTACGAATCGGGCTGTGAACTGCAAGGTCAGCAGTTCAAAACTACTAGCGGTTCCGCGGGAGAAAGATGAGGCTTTCTGCTCCCGTAAAGATTTATAGCCTCGGAAACCCTGCACAGGGTCGCTATGAGTCGGAACCGACTCCACGGCACTTAACAACAACAATGGAAGCTCCTTAGCCCTTGAATCCTGCCACTTACATGCAGATAGTTCCCATAGATGAGTCCTCCTTTACTGGCTTTATTAACACCATTTTGTGATTTGTCTTCTTCACTGCCTTCTACAGGTGTTTTTTTAAAAGTATATCTGCAAATCCAATAAATGAGAAGAAAAAAGTTGCACTTGAGAAAGCACAGTTAACTAACAGGGGTACATAAAATTACCTTATTACTTTATATTCAGAGTTGACTATTAAAAACCTGTAATAATTTTTAAATTATTTTTTAATATATTAAAGAACGATGACAGTTTTCTTTGCTCTTTAAATTCATCATAGAATTTAAATAAAGCACCTATTCTTATTACTTCTAAGAGTCTAATCGCACTAAGAATTGAAGTAAGTACTCACCCGAAGTTGTTTCCTAAAAATGGGCATCCACTCATGGCAAAAACTTTGTTATCTGAGCAGCAACGCAGATTTGTCTCCTCATAGATCTCATTGACCTTTCCAGATGTTCTACAGCTGTCTTTTTATGTATCCTGCTCCTCCTGCACCAGCCAATCAGTATGCTTTGTGTACTCTTATCTGGGCTTCCACTTAAATTGATACAGAAACTAAACCTCTATCAACCTTAGAGTGTATTATCCTGCTGACAGTTTGTTTGCAAGAAAAGTGAGGCTGTTCTGCCAAACTGAATCATCTACCTTGTCAAGATTTGTTTTTATATCCAAAGTAACAAAGATTAAATAAATCAATAGAGGACAAGGTTTTGTTTTTTTGTTTTGTTTTGTTTCGTTTTTTTGAGCTGGGGGATGGGGGAATATTTAACTTCATTTGGAAGAATACATTTGGCATTATCTTAAGATGTATAATATGATGAGTTCATCTAAAACAAATATTTATTTGTGTCACATTCAGTGAGTCTTGTAACTCTTAAAGATCTGCCCTCTGATGCATCTGGGAAAACGAATTATTTGTATAACAGGCACAGAATACTTTCTCTAACTCCCTACTTTCATTCTATCGTCAAAATGCTTCTAGACCAAATTTTATCTTATTATTATTGTTAAATGCTGTCGAGTCAGTTGGGACTCATAGCAACCCTATATAGGGTTTCTGCGGAGCAGCTTGTGGGTTTCAACTGGTGACCTTGTGGTTTGCAGTCCAGTGCAACAGTGTCCCACCAGATGTCCAAGAGGTTGATTTATGACATACCCTTAAGCTTCCAAAATAACAATAGAATTTAAATGGGTGCAATGAATTTTTTGTTTACTGGTTCTATACCAAAGTCAGGGCACAGGAAATCATCCATGCTGTGTTACACTGTAAAGGATTTTATAACAAAAATAATCATGATCCCACAATTCTGAACAATGTTATAGATGAATTCTTCTTCTAGAAATTATAATTTATTATAAGTTTTAACAATTGCTTCAAAGTCTGTTGAGCAAGGTAGAAGTTTCACTACCTTGTTCTTGGTACAGCATTGGTGCTTATTAAGAATTACACATAGAGACAGCATTTCCCATTTATTGTACTCCCCAGAACCAGGTATTTTTGTTTAATTTCCTAAAGTAGTTAAGGAGTTGGTAACCTTATTTCCAGTAGTGACTCAGCCACTGATTAGCTGTTTCCTTTGGGGTAACTGATATAATCACTGTACATAACAAATTCCTTAACAAAAGAAACAAAGAAATGAAGGTAAATAAAATCTATTATAGTTTTAATGTGGTCGTGGTTCAAACTAAATCCTGATTTTATTACTATATGATAAATTATTACATGTTTAATGCAAAGCTTAGGAGCCCTGGTGTGGTGCTGTGGGCTAATGCATCAGACTGCAAAGCCATTTGAACTACAAGGTTGGCAGTTCAAACTGCAAGGTCACCAGATGCTCCTTGGAAACCCTATGCAGGGTCACTATAGATCGGAATCCACTTGACAGCGCTTAACAACAACAAAAATGCAAAGCTTTACAGAACTATAAGCAACATGAAAAGGTTTTGTTACAGGGAAGTAGGGAAATCACATACTAATCCTCATCTTCCCTTTGGCTTTTCACACATGACCCTTGGTTTGTTTACACACTGGAAAACTGACCTGTTGGGAGGAGGGGCAGGGTCAAGGTTCTTGATGTCTCTCCCTCAGAGTGCTTGTAAGCAGAGAAAGCTTAATACAATCTTTTTTCTCAACTTTGTTGTTCAACTACAAGTGTGCATTTACAAAGCATGTAGCTAAACAATCTATTCTTCTCTTGGGGTGAGGGCATTTTGGACAGAGAAATCACCTTCATTTACTAGTTAATACATTGGTGAGAGAAATTAAATAATCTTTTATCATCTATAAATTGGAAACATTAGACTTATTATTATTAGCTGAAACGCATAATAGTGTTAGCCATTTTTAAGTTAACAATTCAGTGGAGTTGGATAAAGTCACAATGGTATATAACCATCACATCCATTTAATTGCAACATAGTTGCAACACCACAAAAGGAAATTGCATACTCATTAAGCAGGAACTCTCTGTTTCCTCCTTTATTCAACCCCAGGCAACCACTAATTTGCTTTGTGCCTGAGTAGAGGTTACCTGCTCTAGAAATTCCATGTCAATGAAATCCTATAAAATATGACTGCTGTGTTAGGATTCTTTCACTCAGCATGTTTTTTAGATTCATCAATATTGTAACATGCATTGATAGTTTAAAATTTATAGTGGAATAGCACCCCATTGTACATACAACAAATACCATAATTCCTTCATTGAAGGAAATTCAAGTTCTTTCCACCTTTGGCCTATTATGAATAGTGATGCTATGAGCTTTCATGTACCTGTTATTTGTTTAAACTCCTGTTTTCAATAACTTTGAGTATATATCTAGTAGTGGAATTACTGGGTCATATGGTAATTCTCTGGAGTCCTGGTGTGACACTATAGGATAAGTACTAGGTTGCTAACCACAGGTCAGTGGTTCAAAACCACCAGATGCTTCTTGGTCAACTCTAATTTCAGAAGCCAGCTCTTCACCAGTCATATTTTGAGCTCCTTTCAACCTGAAGTGACTCATCTTCCAATGATATTCTGACAGTATTCTGGTACTACTTATGTTTTCATCTTCCAAAACCATATCTGACAATGTTCTGCTGCTACTAATAAGGTTTTCAGTGGATAAACATTCAGAAGTAGTCTGTCTTTCCTTCTTTCTAGTCTGTCTTAGTTTGGAAGCTCCACTGAAACCTGTCTACCATGTGTGACCCTGCTGGTATTTAGAATACTTGTGGTGTAGCTTCCAGAATCACAGCAACACGCAAGTCACCAGAGTATGGCAAACAGAGGAGTGGTGGGTTGAACCCATTGTTGCTATTGCTGTTGTTAAATGTCAAAGAGTTAATTCCGACCCATTGCTACACGGTGTAGGGTTTCCAAGAAGCAGCTGGTTAGCTTGAACCACTGACCTTGCAGTTCAAATGACTTTGCAATCTGATGCATTAGCCCACAGTGCCACATCAGGACTCAGTCAATATTGTAACTCAAGGATTGAATTATTTTCTTCAATTCTTTCAACTTGACAAATCCAAAGCCCATTCTTAACTTTTGGTATTCTATCTCCAAGTCTTCGCACATTTCATTACAATGCTTTACTTTGTTTTTTCAAACTGATCTTTGAATGCACAGACATTTGATTGTGTGGATCATAAGAAATAATGGATAACATTGGGAAAATGGGAATTCCAGAATGTTTTTTGTGCTCATATGGATCTTGTACCTGACCAAGTGACAGTCAGTCAAACAGAACCAGTAACTACAGCATATTTAAAATCCAAAAGATATGTGTAAGGACTCTATCCACTCACTATACTTATTCAAGCTGTATGCTTAGCAAATATTTCAAGAAATTGTACTACACAAAGAAGAACTCAGCATTAGGAGTAGAAAAAGACTCATAGCAACCTTCAATCATCAGAAAACTCAACCTTACTTGCTGAAAGCAAACAGGACTTAAAACACTTACTAATAAAGATCAAATGCTATAGCATTCAGTAGGAATTACACCTCAACAAAAAGAAAAGAAAAATCCTCACAAGAACCAATAAGCAACCTCATTATGGTAATGGTTAAAGTTGTGTGCCAAATAAGCTGGGCCATCAAGACCTTTACCTCACCCCTTATACAAAAACCGAATCTGCATGGATTAAAGACCTAAATGTGAATCCCAGAATTATGAAGGCCATCAAAGAAAAAATAGAGACAAATGTGAGGGCTCTAAAACAGGGCATAAACAGACTACCAAACATTTTGAATATTACACAAATAAAGGTAGATAAAATAGATGAATGGAACATACTAAAAATTAGAAATTTACATGCATCAAAAGACTTCATCAAAAGAGTAAAAAGGGAGCTCACAGAATGGGGGAAAAAAAATCTTTTTTAATGACACATCAGACAAGGGACCCATTTCTAAACTATATAGGAATCTACAATACCTCTACAAGAAAAGAACATATAACCCATTTTAAAAATGGACACAGGACATGAACAGACACTTCACCAAGGAGGAGATATGGGCAGCCAACAAACATATGAAGAAATGTTCATAATCACTAGCCATTGTTGTTGTTGTTATGTGCCGTGGAGTCGGTTCCGACTCATAGCGACCCTGTACAGGGTTTCTGAGGCTGTAAATCTTTACGGGAACAGAAATCCTCATCTTTCTCCCGCGGAACAGCTGGTAGTTTCGAACTGCTGACCTTGCGGTTCGCAGCCAGATTCATAACCACTACGCTACCAGAGCTCCTTAATCACTAGCCATTAGAGAGATGCAAATCAAAACAATAATAAGATATCATCTCACACCAGCAATAATAGCAAAGATCAAAAAAGTAGAGGATAGAAACAGGGGAGGGCGACGCTTGATGGCAGATAGGGTAGAGGTGCAATGAAGTTTGTCATCAGCAATACCACAGAATACCAGGCAAAGTGGGTTCAGGGAAGAGCTCCAAAACTCTGAACCACATGGGTAGGAATATTTAAAAAGTTTGAAGGTTTATAGCTAATTGTTAGAAGTGCAGCCAGAGTGCTCCTTGGAGGTCAGGATAACCAAACTTTGTCTCTCATACTTCGGACATATTATCAGGAGGGACCAGTCACTGAAGAAGCATATCATTTTTGGTAAGGTGGAGGGTCAGAGAAAAAGAGGAAGAGCCCTAACAAGATGGATTGACCAAGTGGCAGATCGATGGACTCGAGCATGGCAACAATAGTAAGGTTGGCCCAGGATTAGGCAGTGTTTCATTCTGCTGTGCATAGGGTCACTATGAGTCAGTACCGACTTGATGGCAACTAACAGCAACAAGCTCGTGGAACTTGTAGTGGAAGTAAGAAATCACGTACTTTTGATTCTGTCGGACTCAGCGGACCGGAGCCAACAAGTTGGGTAAGA